TTAAGAGGTATCTAGCTACAGGCCTAGCATAGACCTGTAGTAATAACAAAGTACTTCTTATATCTTGCCTAATTTGTAACTACGCGACTTTTATTATCTAAAAGCTATTAGAAAGGCTTGTAAGAGCATTCTAGAAACCTACTCTTAAGAAGAGCAATCTAAGTATAGTACTTAGTATTAGAGATAGTAGTAAAGAGGGCTATTATTCTACTCTACACAGAGTCTGCGCTATACTTAGCGTCTAGAACTATAAGCTAAATACTTCTTATAAAGTGTATAATGCAGAATTAGATAGTATAATAGCACTACTACTTCTAAGTACAGTATTTCTTATTAATAAGCTACAAAAACAAGCTCTAGCCTACGTAAAGGCATTAGGAAAGCATTTAAAGAGCATTCTATTAGCAACTTACTTTTTATTTACTTATTATCTATATTAATAGTAACACCTAATAAGCTCTTACTATATAGGTAGTAAACCTAGAATTTACGCCTCTTTTTAGGTGTACTTACTCTCTCTTTAATAAGCTAGAAGAACTTTGTAAAGCTGTTAGCGTAGAGTTTAACACTATTATTGTTAGTAATAATTCTCTCTAGAGTAACTACTAGAGAGCTATTAGAATGCATTTGCAGAGTATTTTAGTGCTAACTTACACTTCTTTATTATCTTATTAAACGTTGTAAAGAGAATCTTATACTATAGCCTATGTAAGCGCTTAAAGAATATGTCTATTTACTAGGTCTTCTATTTAAGTAGAAGAATAGCTTATTAGTCTAGAAAGTAGTAGATTATAGTTCTAGTAGTAGAAAGGTTAATAGAGTAGATATAAGCCTAGATAGCATTAAGAAAGCTTTTAAAGAGTAATTAAGTAGTGTCTACTTTTATTAGATCTTAGTGCTTTATTCTCTATTTATATATTACGCTCTTAAGTCTAGCTCTAAAGAGAAACTTAATTATCTTCTCTCGCTAAATAATCTGCCTAATACAGAACTTATTAGCAAAGACTATACTTATATTCTCTATAGATTTAAAGCTATGCTTCTGTAAGTATACTCTAAGCTACAAGAAGCTAAGAAACTACGCTAGATAGCTATTAGAAAGCTTTTAAAGAGCGTTTTGTGCGCTACTTACTAACTATTAAGCCTAGTGTTAACATTAGAGCTAAAATCTCTATAATATTATTAATATGCTTATCTATAGGCTTAGTAGAAGGCAGAGAAATATGCTTGTATTTTCTAATAGTAATAAGAATATAATAGAGGTAGCGTATAACGTTCTAAAAGATAACTATATAGAATTTAGCATTAAGGCAAGGTTGTAATACTAAGAGCGCTTAGCTTTAGAGGTAGTTATAGCTTATAAAGTAATTAGAACGCTTTTAGAAAGCTCTTAAATAGTATATTATACTACACTTCTATTCTCTTATTAACGTAGAGATATAGGCATTATAATAACCTCTAAACTTCTCTTTCTACAGCAAACTCTCTTAAAATAAATAAGCAAGATACTTAATATTAATTTTAGATAAAATAGCGCAAAAGAAGTACTTCTTATCTACCTAGTTATACTACCTCTAGCTACTACACTCTACATACTAGAGCTTGTTCTCTATTAGTGCCTAAAGAGCTATTAGAATGCATTCTAATAGCCTTTTAAGTTAAACGTCTTTCTTACCTATCTTCTCTATTATCTAAGAATAGAACTACAACCTTCTTTATATAATATATAGGCTATTTCTGCCTAGAACTAGTTTTAGATAGAGATAAACGTGCTAAGGCCTATTAGAATACTCTCTAAAAGCAATCTAAAAGCTTTCTATAAACTTAGTTATAAATCTCTATACCTAAGTGTAATTATTCTTCTTTAGAGTATCTTTAAGGTGTCTTATCTTATTATATAGCGCTAGTATTACTTTAGAGTAAGTACACTTTTCTTTAAGAGGCTCTTAAAGGTATAGGTAGTACTTAATACTAGAGTATTAGTACTTCTAGCGCACTACGTAGTATCTAAGATAAGAGAAGAATGTTAGACGCTTCTTATACTTAGTGTGTTTTGTGTATTAAAACTAGAGAGTATTTAGATAGCGCTTTAAAAGCTTTCTACTATAAGGCCTACCTATAACGCTACTACTAGAGTACTTTCTATTATAGTAGTAGATTCTAGAAGCTATATAATATACGCGTGCTCTTCTTTAGTTATCTTTAGGTATATTAAAATTACTATAACATACTACTTAGTAGTTATAGTAAGAGTAGAACTATTATTACTTTCTATAGTAAGTAGAATAAGTAATTTGCTCTAGAAAGCCTTTAGAAAGTGTTTAGAGTGCTCTTTCTTAGAATACTTACTATATTCTCTACTACGTTCTTATCTACAACTTCCTTATTAATATAAGCCTAGTAGAACGTTAGCTTAATATTTTTAAATACTCTATTAGTTAGTAGAGTAGGTTGTAGGCCTAGGTTAAGCACTAGAAGAGAGAGGTAGTGTTAGCTTATAGTTGCTTAGCACTTTATAAAGCTCTTAGAAAGCTTTTACATTACTTTTATAGTGTTCTTTTTTATTTTTTAATTCTATGCAGTACTTTAAACTATATTAGGCTAGTATACAGAGAATAGTTAGGCTAACATAACATAAGACTTTATTTATAGTAGTGTGTTTCTATTCTAGGTATGTTCCGATAGCACCGACGCTAATCCCATAGTCGGGTGACATGCGAACACGACATGTTCGCTGCATTCCGAGCCCACGCTGCATGATCTGCACAGGTCATTAGCGGATTAGCTGCGGTTGGCCAGCTGCCAGTTGGTACGATCTGGGGCTCACTTGCCCACGCGCCATCCACGACTGCAGTAACGTGCATCAGTCTGCATCTGACGCAGCACGCTATCTAGCCCGCAGAGGGTGGTTGACTCGATATCTGCAGCCAATATTCCGGCTGGCTTGCTCATACCCTGGTCGGTTCCAGCATCTTCGGGTCTCAAACAGCAAAGGCTCCACGACCATGTCCCTGGCGGTCCGTCACTGCACGCCACTGGAATAATCGCTGACCTACTTGGAGGCCGCGGTCGCTCCTCCTTGAAGCCTGTTCTTGCAAGGGCCTCCTGGTAACCTCTTGACTGGCCGAGCACGGGGTCCCGCTGTCGTCCGCCCACCCTCCACTTTTGCTACCCGGCATTATTGTACTTATTACTATTATCCTTTGCCTTGCGTTCAAGCAACCGAAGCCGTGCTCGCTGCGTGCTCAGTGTCAATTGCGCCCAGAAGGAGCGCCCGCGCCGCATATCTTAATCCCTGCATCTGTAAGTTTGTCCCGCGTCGCCCCTACATACGCTCTTACATGCACTGTTGCTTTGTGCTTCGGTTGCGGTTCATACGGAGCCGGAACAGCGGTGCTCAGTCGTCAGACGTCAGCCCTGCACGGACTGTTGATTCTTTGGTCTATTTTCTAGACTGCAACGGACATCCTAGTCAAGGCCAGACGCTTCTGTTCGTTGGCCACCTTCCTGACTTCTTCACGTACCTTTATGTACCCGTTAGGTTGTCTACTAGCTGATGCCGTGGCTGCATCAGTGTCAAGCGTTGAGCAGTGCCTGGATCCCTTGAGCATCCTGGGCAGTCCATAGCTCCTACTGTTCCATATTCCCTCATGTGGTCGGTCAACGGGGTGTACCGTGGAAATCATCCCACCTCAAGCGCCGAACATCAAAACCCATCTTACCTGCTATGCTTCTCAACATGAGTCGTCCACCCAGCATACCCTCACATTCAGGTCCTCCGCCATCCTACAGCCCTTACCCAGCACATCATGCTTCATCGTCTCGACCAGAAATCATTGCCCCCAGTCAGCACGTTCGCCCCAGAGATTCCAGCGGAAGTCATAACAATGCGCAGCAATTACCAAGTCTTCGCACGCTTCTGGAACCAGAGCTACTGGACAAGAAGTCGTCTGATCCATCGCTGAGAGCGGGCGGCGCTCCGGTACCTTACAGCCATGGCGGTCGTTACGGGTCGTCAAGTCCGACACTGAAGAGACGGCATGAATATGATGGCTACTTCCATGGCTACCCAGAGCATAATGCTATCGCTTCTCAAACACCCTACCACCACCGTCAACCTCTTTCGACTACAAACGCCACCACATCCACCACATCCTTACCACCCGGCTCTGGGTTTGGTGTCGGCCGAGTAGATCTCCAACGGCGCGAAAGTTTTGCACATCCTTCACAGCATGAGATGGCAGTAAATGGGCATCGGCAAGCTTCGCTCATGTCTGATGCGACGGGAACGATGACAACTCACTCCGTTCAGCAAGAACTAGGGTTTGACCCAAGTAGGCCTGTCAGGATGAGACGACTGGAGGGTTCCTCGAGAGCTCCGGTACGATCGTCGCGTTGTGTGGGCCAGCGCGATATACCTGGCGAAGGCCCATGCTATGTCTACGAGGACGGCACCTACTGTCGGGCTATAATAGACGGCGAGGCCGTGAACCCTTCCTGGGGCATTACGAAGGCGGGGAAGCCTCGAAAACGACTCGCGCAGGCTTGCCTTACCTGTCGAGAGAAGAAGATCAAGTGCGAGCCCGGGTATCCAAAATGCCAGCAATGCGCCAAGTCGCAAAGAGTATGCAGAGGGTAAGTGGATCTCCCTGTTTGCAGTTCCCTTCTTTTCTCATTCGAGAACGTGGAACGCATTGACTTAATTGACTCGTTATACACTTCGGACCAGACAGGACTATAGTCCTATTATAGAATGACAAATACTAACCAATGGTAGAGGACTCAATCAAAGCAATGCATCCGGCGAGACATCACCGTCAAACTCCGCTCCGCTATTTAAGAACCATTCATCCGAAGTTTTGAGTCCCGCAGCCAACTCAGATAGAAACAAAGCTCCCGGAGAGCTGCGAGACTCATCAAGAAAGGTTGACACTTGGAACTCCGGAACCCCGTTCAGACCTCGAAAGTACCGCCATCATACTAGCACGGACCCGAGAGACATGTCGGTACAGTCGTACGATTCGGATTGGAGTGGTTCGGCAAATGACCAGAGCCTTGACGATCCCGGACGTGGCTCTTACTCCGATCAACTTGCCCTCCAATGGGAACAAGATCCTTTCGAAACTGACCCTGGACTGACGATGCACCTACTGGATCTTTATTTCAATCACGCGGGTCGCGCGACCTATGGCATGTTTCCTCGTAGACCCTTCCTCGCATGGGTAGAGGGTAACCGCGACAAGAACCACGACCACTTGATGCTTTTATACTCAGTCCTGGCTATAGGCTCACTGTTCTCGGTTGATGGAGATAAGAAAGCCCTGGGAAAGAAGTTCGCTTCGGTTGCGTCATATGCAGCGGAAAAGCGGTTCGGGAAGTTCAGCCTGCAGTTATGCCAGACTCGGCTGATGCTCGCGCTCTACTATTTTGCTCGCGGCAAGTCACAGGAAGCCTGGGACTATTGTGGTGCTGGTCTGCGAGCTCTTAGCGCCCTGAAGCTGAATTCTGAAGAAGGCGTTAAAGAGCTGGTTGATAGCAGTGCCGATTGGGACTATGGACTTGATCGTCAAATGTTCGCGGAGTGCTGTCGTCGCACTTTTTGGTCCGGACTACTGATGGATGTAAGTCACGACGTCATCAAGGTCCCAGCATCCGTTGACTTGATGCAACAACAGCGATACAATGGCTTCTTCGGAGGGACCCTTTTCGTCCTCAACTTGGAGGATGCCTTCGTTCAGCTCCCATGTCTGGACAGCATGTACGATGCATCAACACCGTGTAACGCGCCGATCCTGGACGAAGATATCCTGAGTGGAAATGCCACTTCTGGCCCCGTTCTTGGCCACATGGCGTATCTATGCCTGATATCGACGCTATGGGGTGAGGTCCTTACCTTCACTAGCCGAGCTGCGCGTCGGCCCGACAGTGCCTATGAACGACATTACGACACGTTCTACACGCGAATCAATGAGAAGCTGGAAGCATGGCATGCGATGTTGCCGGAGGAGCTTCGTTACAGCCCACGAAATCTCGACAACAGCATGGTTGCAGGATACGCAGGTACATTCGTGTCTATACACGCTTTGTATTACGCTACAGTCATCCGGCTCAATCGCCATATCAGAGTCAGCATATTACCAATGGAAAAACAACGCCGAAATCTGGAACGAGCCCTACGCATGGCGTCCAACTTTCTGTCGATGATGCTTTCCCTAGCTCCAGCTAGCCGCCAACGTCTTTCGCCCACCGTTGCCTCGGACCTCTCGTTCTCGACGCCTTTCCCTGGTTACGCGCTCATGCTTTCGGTCGATGTATTGACCTCTGCCGGGCTGTTGTCATCGTTGCCGACTTTGATCGAGACACTCAACACTACACTGACCTGTATCGACGAACTAGCAGGCGTTTGGGCTTCTGCAAAAGCGCAGCAGAAGACAGTATCGAATCGGATCAAGCAGCTCATGGATATTGCCGCACAACAGGGCCAAGGCATAAGCAACGGAAGTTACGGAAATTTCTGGAGGATCGGCAACAGTCTTGAGACGGCTTTCGGAAACGATGATGCGTTGTATAAGACCGAAGACCAGTTGCTTTTCGGCGTTGTGGGTCAGCTTACGAGTCAGTAAAATGCCTGTTCATCAATACTTGCTACTCCACGAACCAATGCCGGCTTATGTCTTTTCCTTGGACCACATCGGTTTTGTATGCGCTTCTTGTAATTGTCTCGGATCTGTGGTTATGCAATGGTGTCGCACGCTGCATAAACCTCGGCCCGATCTCCAAACCGCGTTCGTCTGGCCAACGCGCCCAGCATCAGCAGAATCCGCTCTGACAGAGAGCATGCATCTGCAAGGGCTGAATAGCGATTTAGTCTCCTATGGCCTATTAGGAGTGCGTTCGTATATGGACGATGATCGTATGTTATCCCCACGACGCTGCCCTCTCCAAGTTGTGAACTCACGAGAAATTTGTATTCGTACTACTCTCAAAAGCCTTGAATGGACGGAGGATGCTTTCGCAAAGGTTCATGCGGTATTATTTTTCTTGTCTTTCAAGTCTCATTCTCATTCTCGGCCATGTGTCATGGAGCGGCTTTGTACAATTATCACTTACCAAGATCATGCGCGCATAATGATTGGCACCTTGTACCATCAAACGATATTATAAACAGAATCTTTAACTACTCGAGGACTCTAAATCATCTGTCGTAGTGTTACGAGATAGCAGATATCTCACTTCGTAAGACCTAGGCAGTAAATCCGGCTCGTGGTGGAGCGGTATCATCACAGCATGATCGAGCTTTGCTGCAGTACTCCCTCACACAACGCGTTTGCTTTGCCTGAAATCCACTTCGCGGAAATAGAGCACCCGTACCTTGCACCTCGGGTGCTACACTTGCGCCCTGACCGCAATAAGCAAGCAACAAGGTTGATTCATGCGGGGACGCGGGACTTTCTAAGCCACAATGTCTAAGATCAAGCCAAGGGACCCTATGTGTGACTTGCACGTCGACGATTATCGCACTCTTCCCTGGTCAATTAAACGCTACACACCACCACCGGAACGCCTTCGGTCCACACCCATAATCCAACAACAGACAGATGAGGTATACGAAGGAGGAGGCCCGCGGATCGAAGCTCGAGAGTGGTCGGCTAAGTGATGTACAGCAAGGAGATAATCATGACGACATCATATGCACTTTACGACCGATCACCATTGGTACCAAGATGTATCGCCCAGGCCTGTGGCACTGAAAGTCCGAATACGTGCCAGCTGATCACAGCATCACCCACACGGTATGTATGTTACGGCAGCGGTGATCTAGATGCGAAAGCGCAAGGAGGCAGTAGTGCCTCTCCGCTAAGGGTAACTAGCAAAAAGTCCACGACTACCGGTAGTACGGGAAACTACCGACCACGCGCGTCTTCAGAGGCGGAAACGTGACACACGGCCTCATAGCCCGCAACTAAGACTTTGGCGTACCATCTCCCGCTTTAGACTGTCCCGAGGTCGGCACTTGCCAGCGCACTTGAGCGAACAAGCAAACAAGATCATCGTCTGCTCATTGTTCGAGCAGCAGAAGCAAGCTATCGGAGCTGAGATCTAGCCAAAGTCTGTTTCGAGCGGTCCCATAGTAAACACGATTTGACAAATGTCTACCTGGGCAGCCACCACAAGTTCGACCAAATGCCCTAATCGAACGTGCCAAACTCTGATACTAGTACCGCTCCCTTTTTTTCCTCCATGACTACCGGGCGGGACAAGAACCGACCTACTAACTACCCGAAACGTAAAAATGGCGGAAACCAAAAGCAATTTAACAAGCGCGACCGGCGAGTTTTCAGTGTCCGGTCCGATTTTGACAGCGTATCTCGTAAAATGCGTTCCAGATGTGTCCTTGTTTTTCCAGCGTCACCTGCATCGTCGTCTTTGTGTCATACCAAGAACATGTTCCTTCGGCCGCATAACCGAAGAGACAGCATTAGTGGACCAGATTCCACAAATCTAGCTTTTCAACACGACACGTCACACGAGTACAAGCTTCAGTGCCCAGGTGTTCCAGGGCCGGTCGTTCATGCACGTGCGCACCTTCCGCTTCAGGATGCAAAACCCAGCGCCAGAGTATGTTGGTTTGCTAGCAACCATCTCATGTACAAAGAGATGCTTGCGTACAACTATTTGTAGCAAGCATACTGCCGTATATAGGCAGCTCTCATCTCATGTTAGAATAGATCATCAATTCATCTTATTTCTGCTCTTATTCAAGAGAGTAAAGGGTAAGAACGTTTGCAGGAGAAGGCAGAGAAGAGTTTCACGAGTTTGCCAAGGCTTTCTAAGTTTCACCATCACGTCTCCATCAGCTTCAGTTCATTGGAAAGATGGCCTGGAACTTAGTTTTCTTACTGCGCTTTGCTCCGCAGAATAGACATGAGGTGGATACTTAAACGTTCGACGGAAACTCGGTATGACGCAAGATACGTCTCTAGCTGGCTGCTGGTGGCCGAGGCCGAGGCCGTGACAAGGTACCACCACTACGGCTTTTGCGTGTGGATAGAGCGGATACAAAGCGCTCTCGAGGAGGGAAGAACGATTGGGTGAGAACGCAGTGGCAGGTCTTTCCGCTCTTGTACCCAAAGTAGTGGCCGAGATGCAGCAACGTACCTAAAGTTTATCTTGGAGATGGAGGGATTAGGAATGAGTAGTGCAGTGATGGTGATCTTGCCGCCCCTGTATCCCTACATTAGACGGAATAGATCAAAGAAACACGACATCGGGACGGCATGATTACTATAGCAAACGTGCCTCTTCTCGACGACTCAATATGACGACTCAAACAATGATTAAAGTTGACATGCTCTTGAATTCACCATGTCGAGATAGCTACATAGATCATAAATTGTTATCCGTCTTGAACTTATCCCACGCCTCGTTCAATGTGGCAAACACAGCCGCACTAATCATCTTCTGCTCTGTGGTGGCCGATTGAGATATCTGTAACGAATAAGGTTAGCAAACCGTCATGTTGTTTTGGACATGGGAGAGGAGAGAACATACCTTGTCAGGATGCACCTTGGCAATAGCCTTCATGTAGATGATCTTGACCTTGTTCGGCATGACGAGATCACCCATGTTGACCTTCTTCCACCCTGCATCCTCCCAGAGCACTTTATCTAAACTACCCAGTAACGCACGCAGGTTATCTGACTTGGTACCCTTCCAAGCAATGAGTTTAGCATCGACTTGGTCGGTAAGGGCAAATTTCTCATCGTCTGCACGTTCAGCGGCGGCGTTGGCGGCTTTCATGCGTTTGACGGCTTCGGAGTCATTGGCGGGACCACCACCAAGATCTGACATGGCAGAGGGTCTAGGAGCAGCAGGCTTGCGGGCTGGAGGCGGGCGTTTACTAGCTGCCGGGGCGTCGTTATTCCCACTCGCGGCTTTCTCACAGCGGTTGCGACCGGAAATGGCGATTGCGCCGCCCACACCATTTTGAACGGCTTCTTTCCATACGCCATGTGCATCTGCCCACTTCTCCATGTTCTCCAATGCTTCAGCTTTTCGCATGAGAGCTTTGCCATAGAATTCCTTCATGTCTTTTTCGCCTTCCATTCCACCCGTAGCAATCTTCTCGCCTTCTCCTCTTGACACACCGATTATCGCTAAAGCTGAGTCGGCATCCGCAATTGCCGCCTTCGGATCGCCAACTTTGATGTTCGTAACGGCGCGATTACAGAGTACAATGATCGTGACGGGATGATTGCTTGGAAGAGGACTCAGTGCAGAAGAATAGGCAGCGTGTGCAGCAGAGTAATCCCCACGCTTGAATGCTTCGGAACCTCTTTGCCGGTCGGCTGAAGATGAGCTGAGTGCGGAGGGTGAAACTGGAGGTATTTGACGGGGCGGTGCTTTTGGCCTGGTTGGCGTTGGTGTAGGAGCCGGACTTCGAGCTTTCTGGGATGATGTTGCTTGGAGGAAAGGATTGTTGGATTGAGCAGGCGTTGGTTGGCGCGAAGACTGCTTTGACGGTGGCGTGGGATCTGGAGAGAAAAGATCCACTTCAGGCTGCGGCTGCGGCTGCGGTGTAGTCTTCTTCCGGCGAGCAGGGCTGACGTATGCTTGAGAGCTTTGGTCCTCTACCTCTTGCCGGGTCAATCGCGTTGCTGGTCGCTTATCCAGACTTGATGGTTGCTGTCGCTGTGAAGGCGATTGCGATGACATGCGGTCTGGGTAACCATTTCGTCCGGTTTCTTGCTCTCTTCTTTGTCGTACAGGTAGCGGTTCGCCTTGGTGGCGCATGTCGCTCGTTCGGGATGGCTTCGTAGGACGCCCACCAGCTTCCAGCATCATGGCTTCGTCTGTAGCCGACGCCTCGGCCTTTTGCTGTCGACTTGAACGAGGAGTAGCTTCCGCAGCCTGAGCGTCTCTCATCCACTTTGGCATGTTTGGATCACCCTCTTGTTGGAAATCGGCCATCGCCTTTTGTACTTGTTTGCGGCCCGTCTTCCACAGAGAATTCGCCGATTTGAACAGGTTGTTGCCAATCTCTGAAGCCATTTGGGTGACGTCTTTTTCTTGGCCTTCTTGCCTACGTTGTCCTGAACGGCTTCGCGCTTCATCTTCTTGCATCCACGCGGGCCTAGAGCCGCTTGCCCGTGGTTCTCTTGACGACTCCCGACCATTGGATCTGCTGTTCCCACGCCTCGGGCGCTCGTCTGAATCATCAGGCTCTCGACGTGATCTGTCTTGGCTCTGCGAATGCGTTTTCTGTTTCGCCTCGGCATGCGCCTGGTTTAACAGCCATCCCACAGCAGCCTGCACGTCGAGCCCAGAATCTGTGGTCGCAAGAGCGATTGCCGACCTCTCAGCTGGAAAGCCCATGTCCACAAGTTCAGCAACAGCTTTGTCATGCGCGTTCTGAGGGCCTGGAGATGTTTGTTGTCGAGATTCCTCCGCGGGTGCTGTCTGAGGCTCTTCCTTGTGCTGGAATTCGGAGACCGGCTTTCCTAACAAGCCTAGTATATCGTCGTCGGCAGCGTTGGTCGTTGGCGCTGGAGCAGGCGACGTAGACTTTTGCGCCATCTGCTTGAGACCAAACATGTCGTCATCGTCGTCGAGGAGCGCATTG